ACGACGGGCGACGGGTGACGCACGACGGACGACGGAAAATGGCATGTTTGGAACTGGTAAATGGCAGAATTGGGACACAACAAAAAGCAAAATGCGACGGACGACGGGCGACGCACGACTGACGACGGGCGACGGCAGATATGGAATTCCATAAGACAGGCATATGAGAACATTACACTACTTTGTACATGATGTACACGGGCCATGGCAAGCGCAATGAAAGCAGTTAATTCATTTGAACTTGATTAATGAAAAGGCAGTTTAACTGAAACTGTTGAAAAGCTTGGCAGACATGCAGATTGTAGGATTAAGGGGTTTCGTTTTCTAATCTACCAAAAATGTATTTTATGAAAAATTTCATACAAACGATGACACAAACCCAATATGTCGCACGAACTTCCGGAGTAACCGCCAACGCACCTGTAACATAACGAAAAGTGTCGAATGAGATTGTTTCAACCTATTGACTTAGGACATTGATAGCTGCAGGCATAATACAATTACACGACATTCATTATTAGCGTTTGAAGTATCTCTGTTACTTATTTGTGCTCTGTTATCAGAAAAAACGAAAAGAAAAACGCAGGTTAAAATATGCTGACAACCGATCAAGGTTTTTAGTATCTACTCAGTTGGATGAATAGCAAGGTAAACACCTACCAGTAACGCTCATTAATTAGAGCTGTATGGAAACCAAGTTTGGAGCTATTGTTATTTTGCGAATTTGTGTACTTTATCTACAAGGGCGGATCCCCAGAACCCAATTTTAAACAGGCAAACGAATGGGTTTTTGGAGGAGCCCAAAAATATGGAAATCTATTTTTCATGTAACCTTTTTACGGCCTTTCTGAAGGGTATGGGGCTTTTCACACGCATTTTCGAAGAAAGGGATAAGAAATAAACCAACAATTGCACTTTTCCTTCAGTACTTTCTTAAAATATTGTTGACTCCTTTCGGGGGGGGGGGGAGTGGCTTCCGTTGCCCCCCCCCCCCGCCCATGCCTATGTAATTTGGACCCTTCACCGAACATACTCGCAAGAGTACACGGGATCCTGAAGGCCTCTGAGTTGCGTACAGTTGCCGCCGTTTTTGCAGAAGTCTGGTGGACAGCCTTCATTTGCCACTATACAAAAACATACAGAAAGGCGCTAATGATCATCACACAAACACTCAATAACGTTCGATGGAGGTAATATTCAGATCTATTTCTCTGTACAGTCATCCCATTATGGTAGTTTTCGGTGTGGGACACGGTACAAGCAATATGAATGAATGTCCAATGAATCAAATTGAACTGAACTTGAAATGAAGAAAGAGAATTTTGGTTTCCGGATTTGTTAATCGGAACTGTGAACAACTGAATTGCTGAAAAAGATTGCATATCAAACACGACATTTGTGACAAAAACTTAAATCCCCCTGAACATGTCTTTCATGGGAGTGGCGTATCTGCGTTGCTGCTGTGTATGGTCATAGCCATGTTGGAAAGCTGTCTCATCGATGGTTTGATATTGCTGACTGATATCATATTGATTCATTAGCATCACATTTTTACATCACGTATATATCGAACGCACCTGTTGCATACGTTGCTGAAGGGTCAATAGTGAGCAAACTATGTGCATTCCTTTCAGCCTCTCCAGCGCTATTCAGCACGTCGACCAAAGCCTCGGGCTCGACCATCGAATTCACTGGGTAGATGGCAGCACCGCTAACCAACAAACTCCCGTTGCGTATGGAAGAAACAACGAAATCCACAACAAAAGCCGTGGTCGGTGAGCTTCGGAGGACTTCAATCACCTTCGAGAAATGACACATATAAAACGATAGAAGCGATTTCTTTACCAACTGGCGGATCCAGAGGTATCGACCGCTGCAATACCCCCTTACTTGGTTCGGACGCAAACCATATTTTCGCACAGTTTCATTTCATGCTCTCCCGAAAGTAAGTGAAACGTCCAATAATTTAGTCTCAAACATCTGCAGAAAGGCAAAACAGTATATTGTCAAGCACCTGCTCCCTCCAAAAGACCATTGCCTCTTAAACAAATTGTATGATGCAGAATATGTTTCTCCCTATTTGTAACTAAATACACTTTAACGGGTGAACCTACCGCCACAGTCACTTTTGATGATATTTCACGGAATGCCTGGGAGGTGCTGTCGGCCAGAATATCGGTATATCTAGCTGTTGTTCCATTTAACGCCAGGATTCTGAGTCGAAGGATTATATCAAATGCTGGAAGAAGAAAAGGTATCACCTTTAACCCTCAAAGAGCCGGGTTATTTTGACTCATCTTACAGCCAGGGAGGGAGCAGATTACGCCCCCTCCCCCAAGTTAACTCGCCTGATTTTCTTTTAAACTTGGCATGCATAAACATACACTCTTTATAATTACAAATGTGAAGTTTGAACTCAATCAGACATAAATTATGGTTTGGTGTCATTTGAAGTTCATTGCTATATGTGTACCAGTACGGGTGCATTGAGCACCGTAGTGGAAAAGTATACATTTATGGCTGACCCGGCTCCGATTTTTGCAAAAAAGTGTCAAAATGACCGCAAACAGTTACTCTAAAACTCTTAATTAAGGCTCAACTTAAAAAAGGCACTGCAGCGATATAGGAAAAAAATGTTGAGGGGCTCCCCCAGCTCTTTTAGGGATGAAGTAAATTGAACGTGCACTAAAATGCAACCTCGATTCAACAGGCTGCGTGCGCGCAAAGCATGGTAGGATGGCTCGACCAGATCGTTCCCATGGGAACGAGGTTGACTAGAATGGGCTGTATCCACTGATCTATATTACGCTGACAGTGGCTGATCATTGATCTCCATTAAATAGACTGGATAGGACATCGCGCATTGTTTGTGCACAAAATACGCGGCCGAACAATGGCGGCGCTTCAGGAGGGTAATGTGATGCTGTATCCTGTGCCTTTCTGGCCAACATAACCTTTTTCTCATGGGATGTTGGCTAAGCCCTCGGCCCCCCTCCCGAAAACAAGCCAAAAATAAACAAAAAACGCAAGAAAATTACTTCCAGATCGATGGGCTGTATTCACAAGTCGGCCATATTGAATTGAAAGTGGGGTTTAATTTTTGCACCCGGAAATACGAATGAAAGCGCTGAAATAAAACTTCATTACAAGTTCAGGTCATTTATACTGATGAAGAATTTTAGTTTGTGATTAATTAGATTAAATGTTTTAAGCCACACTTGAAAAAAAATGAAAACGAAAGGAAGGCATTAAACCCCAAATAGTCTGACGCCAACCCTCATTATATTTCATTAAATAAGAACATTCCAGGAATACCATCGATAATAGCTTCTCTGTGAAGACGGCCTATTACCAAATTTTTCAAGAGGATGCATAAGATCTGGGTAGCGAAGAATGCATTATCCTTCAACAAACACGTTTCACTTTGATTTCTCACAATACATCTCTCATAATGTTGCCAGGAAATCTTTAAAATTCGTACTTGGCTTTCGCTTTTTGCGGTCGTTAGGCTATTTGGGGGTATCGATGATAAATAGAACGAGAGCTTCTATGTATGTTTGCAACAGAACATAGGGCTTTTTCGCTTTTCAATGAATATGTCATCGTCATGATTGCATATCTGCAAAGTTCCATCCCGCTGGGACACTTCAAAGATGTAGGGCTTTAAAGGATGCACCTTTCATGTCACGTGACTTATCAATTGATGACGTCATTATCCCATGAGGTCAATTTTCGCCAATCACACACTCCCTTCGAAATATCTCCAAAGTTTCAACCCGCTTGCACATGCACTTCCAGAGAAAGAAAGCTTTAAATGATGCATCTTTAATATCACATGACGTTTCAACTGATGACGTCATCATTTCAGGACGTCAATCGTTTCAGGACGTCTATCATACATTCCCAACTTTCAACCCGCTGTGACCTTTATTCTAGGGGATACAGGGCTTGAAAGGGTGCACCTTTAATGTCACGTGACTTGTCAACTAACCACGTCATCATCCAATGAGGTCAATTTTTGTCTATCACACATCCCCTTCCAGATATCTGCTAAGTTTCAACCCACTGGGACATATACTTTTGGAGATACAGGGCTTTAAATGATGGATCTTCAATGTCACGCGACTTATCAATCGATAAAGTCATCATTCCATGAGGTCAATTTTCCTCTATCACACACCTCCTTCCAGACATCTGCTAAGTTTCAACCCACTGGGACATGTACCTTTGGAGATATAGGGCTTTAAATGATAGATCTTGAATGTCACATGACTTGTCTGCTGATGGCATTGTCATCACGTGAGGTTTTTGTCGTCGGACGGCGCTTCATGTGTGTGGAGAAGTACACCAGTTATGCACTTAATGCAGCGGACTCCAATGTTTTAGCTGTCATCTCGTGGACAATTCACGCTTATATTTGTTACGGTTGATTTCTTCGAAATTGAATTAAAAAATCTAATTGTGATGCCAAAGTGATGTCATGTGTCTACATTCATCTTTGCTGATGGTCGTTGCTTGTACCAAGTTTCATTTTCTCAAGCGGTCAAAATCTACGCCATTCTGGCTGTTGCAAAACGTGTACAAACCTATGGGGAAAACTAATACTCGAAATTCAATTAAAAAAAATCAGACGATGACGTCATCATGACGTCACTCTTCAGCATACATCTATGCAATAATGATTATGCCTATGCCAGCTAAGAATGCTGTGCGACAAATATTAATGGCAAACGTGCTGCACAGAAAAAACGTGTGCAAAGTCTACGGGCTTTTGGCCCAAAAGAAGACCCCCCCCAAAAAATCCTGAGGATCGGAAAGGCTTTTTCGCAAAATTGCGAAAAAGCCAAATATACTCCGATCTCCAAATGACCCCATCAATCGTGAATGGCTTGCTAGTTTGCTGTTGATGAGTGCTTTGTTGCCCCCAGAAAAAAATCCTAGCGTCGTGCATGGATATCCCATCTGCAATCTCAGAGGATGCATGACTGTTTTTGTCGGGGAGCTCAAGCCGGCCCACGCGTTGGGAATTCGGAAGCGTTATAGTACTCCGCTCGACTCATGTCGCCAAGTGCCCAGTATGGTTCTTATTATTTACATTCAAGAGCCTTTAGATACCAATGATACCAATTTAATGTCATGACACTTCAAGTACCACAATAGATTTCGATATACACTGTACTTTCTGCTCTGAGAGTTTAATTTTCAAAGAATGGTATGCTTTACTTTTCGTCAAAATTTCTGTCGCAGAGTCGGCAACAGTTGGTTGGTAAATTGATGGTGTTTCGGCAGACGATCGATCAGTCGTCATTGCGGAATCAGTTGGCTGTTGTTTGATGGATGGTCGACCTGTCATTATAAATGGTACATCAGTGGTAGGCAGTGTCTTGGTAGATGGTCGACTAGTTGCTGATGCACTGTCAGTTGTTGAAAGTTTTGTGTTGAAAGATCGGTCAGTTGATGATGATGCATCAGTTGTAGACAGCCGGGATGCAGCTGGCCGACCTGTTGTTAATGCAAAGTCAGTTGTAGGAAGTTCCGTGACGGATGATCGAGCAGTCACTAACGCAGAATCAGTTGTTAGCAGCTTTGTGGTCGACGATCCACCAGCCGTTAATGATGCCTCAGTCGCGGTTATTTCTGTGGTGGATGATAGACCAGTCGGTAATGTAGAATCACTC